TTGTTTTAAGCCACCCAATATGTGGTTCTTTGTTATGGCAACCCTAGGAAACCAAAATAGTCAGTATTCCTGAACATTCTCTCATAAATATATATTTTTGTGCTTATTTTTCACAAATTTGTATCATTTGCTAAGTTATGAAGTCCTTGAGAGCAGAACTGTGTCATACTCATTCTATACATAATTCAGAATCCCACAAATATTTATCATATAACTGTGGGATATTCTTATTTGTTAAGATTCCCAAATATATTCTTCAGGAGAAAACATGTTAGTTTTTATTAAGTATGCATATTTGAGGAAGACTGGACTATAAAGCATAAGGATATTTTGTATGGAAAAAAATTATAATTACCAGGTTTGGGTTTCTATAGTTAGCAAAAGTAGGATAACTATTGTTATCATGTTTATGTCCCATTCATATAAAAAATAAAATCCAAGTGGGTTTTAAATAAATGAAATCCCTAAGGGACTGTCAACCTGAATTCTCCAGAGAATATTAAATTGGTACAATTTTGCTCCAGTATTACAGAGCACAGCTGAAAATAACTGCTTCACTATCAAAATTCTATCCAAAACTCAGATCATTTATAAAGATTAACATTTAGTAAAAAGACTTAAAAATGTAATTTAAAGTAACATGGTATTTTATGAAGAGCTACTATTCAGAAGTAACATCTAAATGGATATACACAAATTTAAATTTTTTAAATTTTAAAGGATTGGATTATAGCCTATATTTCTGAGATATGAAAAATTACCATCAAGTAATATTCTTATCTCAGTGTAAACATATTCACCATTTACTAGTATAATTTTTATCTCTCTTTAATTAGAAGTAGTTTTATAAGTATTTGAATATTTTTGATCCAAGCGTCGAAACACTATCAATAGAGGTGCTAATGACAACTTGAGGTGGTTGTAGGTTGTTTTTTCACCTGTACCAATTTTTTTCATGAATTTTAATACACACAGATTCCTAGTGTTGGTTTTAAATTCTTAGAGACTAAGAGAGACTTAGTCTTAGAGAGACTGTAGGTAAGAAATATTAATTATTTAACTCATTACCAAAAAGACCAATACTAGAATAAATGACTTCCAAGTTTAAAACTTGGCAGACTTAACTATGTGACTCTCTCAGTTACTGCAAGTAATAAATTATGAATTATAAGCAACATTTAGTTTATCCAACCAGGTGAATAAACATCATGTGTAATGGTTAAATCTTTATGTGAACATAGGCAGATATTCAAATTATCTTCTAATAAGTAGAAAAGAGTCATTGTTCTTAGTTGGTAGGTGACATTTTTTCCCAGACATTTGTTCAACATGTGTCTTAGAGGAAAGTGAAGATTTTAAGGGGTACTTGATAATTATTTTCTCTGTGCTTTCCAATAAAGCTTTCACATCAATATAAAAATCCCCATTGCAGTCATGGGCAAACCAGGTATCCTTTTTGAAGCCTGACAATTTTCCAGACATATCGTGTGAGTGAATTATATGAGTAACATTATTCATAATAAACTCCAATTTAAAATCCAGGTATAACCGTGTAAGTTTGTCACCAATATGCTAGAGACTTTTTTAGAATGTATTTGTACTTTTGGATGTAGAATTATTATTTTAAATACCTTAATTAGCACAGTAACTTTGATAGCACTGTTTTAGCCATAGGAGGTTATTTAACTTTCATTCAAAATTCGTTGGTCCTTATAAACAAATAATTCCACGATTGTAATTTACATTTTTCATAAACTCACACACTCATTATTAGAGGACCAGTTCCATAAATTATGGTACATTTACACAATAGATACAGTTGTAAAAATAATGATGATATGTTTTATGTATTAATATGAAAAAATCTTCAACTCTATTATTATGTAAAAATGAAAAGTACAGAACAGTTTGTAGAATAAACTATTTGTGGATAAACAAAAGGAGGTAAATTTTATGTATGTGTGTGTGTAATACATAGAGAGACATACACATTTACATTGACTTTGTATGTGTAAAAATAATCTGAGAAATGATAAACTTATAAAGAGGAGTTGTCAGTTGTGTGTGTGCATGGATGGGAACTTAGCAGATTGGACTGCATGGGAAGTTTTTTCATTATATACCATTTTATGCTTTATTTTTGAACCACGTGCATATATTAGTCCATATTATAGACAGATAGATAATGTTCTGTTTTTGAAACCATGGTGGCGAATTCTGTTTTGAGGAAAATCCAGTAAACAGAAACCAGCTTTAAAAATAATTATATTCATTCAGACAATGGGGTATTATTCAGTGCTAAAAAGAAATGACCTATCAAACCATTCAAAAACACGAGGAAACCTAAATGCATATTTAACCAGTTGAAAGAAGCCAATCTGAAAAGGCTGATTCCACCTATATGACACTTCTGGAAAAGGCATTACTATGGAGACAGTAAAAAGATCAGTGGTTGACTGAGTGCAATAGCTCATGCCTGTAATACCAGCACTTTGGGAGGCCGAGGCAGGTGGATCACTTGAGGTGAGGAGTTCAAGACCAGCCTGGCCAACATGGTGAAACCCCGCCTCTACTAAAAATGAAAAAATTAGCCAGGCATAGTGGCACGTGCCTATAAACCCAGGTACTCAGGAGGCTGAGGCAGGAGAATCACTTGAACTTGAGAGGCAGGGGTTGCGGTGAGCCGAGATCACACCATTGCACTCCAGCCTGGGGGACAAGAGGGAAACTCTGTCTCAGGGGGAAAAAATGATCAGTGGTTAAAGGGACAGAGGAATGAATAAGAAAGCTAAAAGTATTCTGAGTGCAGTGAAAGTACTCTGTATAATACTGTAATGGTGAGTACATGTCATTATAAATTTATCCAAACCCATAGAATGTACATCCCCAAGAGTGAACCCTAATATTAATATAAACTAAGTAGTCATCATGATGTGTAATAGATCTCTTGAACATTTTCTTCCTGTCTTACTGGAGCTTTGTGCCCTTTGACCAATATCTTCCAAAACACCTCACCCACAACCTCTGGTACCCACCATTTAGCTCTGTTTCTATGATTTTGAGGTTTTTGCATATCAAATGTATGTGAGATCTTGTGGCATTTGTCTTTCTGTGCCTACTTATATTACTTAATGTCTTCACGGTTCATCTAAGTTGTTGTAAATGACAGGATTGCCATCTTTTTAAAAAGCTGAATGTGTGTGTGTGTGTGTGTGTGTGTGTGTGTGTGTGCGCATGTGTGTGTGTGTCTATATAGCATTTTCTTCATCCAACATCCATTGATGGACACTTAGGTTGTATCCACATCTTGGCTATTGTGCTGCAATAAACAGAGTGCAGATATTTCTTCAGTATACTGATTTCATGTCCTTTGGACATATAACCAGTTATGGGACAACTGGATTATATGGTAGCTTTATTTTTAACTTTTTGAGGAACCACCGCACTCTTTTCCATAATGGCTATACTAATTTACATTCCCACCAACAGCATGAAAGAGTTCCCTTTTCCCCATTTCCTTACAAACACTTGTTATCTTTTGTCTTTTTGATACTAGTCATTCTAACAGGTGTAAGGTGATATCTCATGTGGTTTGAATTTGCATTTCTCTGATTATTAGGGATTTTGAATATATTTCACTTACCTGTTGGACATTTGTAAGTTTCCTTTCAAGAAATGACGATTTAGGTCCTTTGCTTATTTTTTAATCAGGTTTTTTAACTGTTGAATGAGTTCCTTCTATATTTTAGGTATTAATCTCTTATCAGATGTGTGGGTTTGCAAATATTTTCTCCCATTCTGTAGGTTGTATCTTCACTCTGTTTTTAGTTTGTTTTTTGTTTGCTGTGCAGGAGCTTTTTAGTTTGATGTAATTCCACTTGTCTATTTTTGCTTTTTCCTGTGCTTTGGTATCACATCCAAGACATCACTGCTAAAGCCAAGAAGCTTTTTCATTTTGTTTGCTTCTAGGATTTTTACCATTTAAGTTTTACATTTAAGTCTTTAATTTATTTGGAGTTGACTTTTGTATATGGTGTGAGATGAGAGTCTAATTTTATTCTTTTGCATGTGTATATCCAATTTTTCCACAATTGAAGGGACTGTCCTTTCCGCATTGTGGATTCTTGGCATCTTTGTGGAAAAGCCATCGACCATAATGTGTGGGTTTATTTTGGGGTTCTGTTTTCTGATTCATTGCTCTTTGTGTCTGTTTTTATGCCAGTACCATGCTGTTTTGATTACTATAGCTTTGTAGTAGATTTTCAAATCAGATAGTGTGATGCTTCTGTCTTTGTTCCTTTTGCTTGAGATTGCCTTGGCTGTTTGGGTTTTTTTGTGGTTCCATTAAAATTTTAAGATTGTTTTTTAAGATTGAATTTTGAAAGGGGTTGCATTGAATCTGGATTGCTTTGGGGAGTATGGACATTTCAGCAATATTATAATAAATCTTTCAATCCATGAACATGAGATATCTTTCCTCTTATTTGTGTATTTTAAAATGTCTTTTATTAATGTCTTATAGTCTTCAGTGTACAGGTCTTTTACTGCCTTGATTAAAATTATTCCTAAGTATTTTTTGTAGCTGTTGTAAGTGGAATTTTCTTGATTTTTTCCTATTTTTATTTAATTTTATTTAAAGTTTTTTCTTTACCTTTTTTTTTTTTTTAAGAGACAGAATCTCGCTATCTTGCCCAGGCTGGTGTTGAACCCTAGGCCTCAAGTGATCCTCCCACCTTGGCCTACTAAAATGTTGAGATTATAGGCATGAACTACCGTACTCAGCTTATTTCTTTTTTGAATAGTTCATTGTTAGTTTATAGAAACACTACTGATTGTTTTATGTTGATTTTGTATTCCACAGTTTTACTGAACTTGTTTATTAGTTCTAATAGTTTTTTGGTGAAGTCTTTAGGATTTTTTAGATATAAGATCTTATCATCTGTAAACAGAGACAATTTAACATCTTCCTTTCTGATTTGGATGCCTTTTAAAAATTTTTTCTTGTCTGCTTGTTCTTTCGAGGACTTCCAGTGTTATATTGAATAGAAGTGGTGAGAGTGGGCATTTTTGTCTTGCTCCAGATGTCAGAGGAAAACCTTTCAACTCTTCACCATTGTGATGTAAACTGTAGGCGTATCATATATGGCCTTTATTGTGTTGAGGTACATTTCTTCTATGTCTAATTTGTTGAGAGTTTTTATCGTGAAAGGATGTCAAATATTAAGTGCTTTTTCTGCATCTACCAAGATGATCATATGGTTTTTAGCCGTTATTCTATTAATAAGGAGTATCACATTTATTCATTTGTATATATTGAAATGTTCTTATATCCTTGGATAAATCTCAATTAGATCATGATGAATGATTCCTTTAATGTGATGCTGAATTTGGTTCATTAGTATTTTGTTGAGGAATTTTGCATTTGTATTCATCAGGAATATTGGCCTGTAGTTTTCTTTTCTTGTAGTGCCTTTGTCTGGTTTTAGTATCAGGGTAATGCTAGCCTCACAAAATGAGTTCAGAAGTGTTTTGGAGGAGTTTAAGAAGGACTGGTATTAGTTCTTTAATTATTTGGTAGAATTCAGCAGTAAAGCCATCAGGTCCTGAGCTTTTCTTTGATGGGAGACTTTTTATTATCGATTTAATCTCTTTACTCATAACTGGTCTGTTTATATATTCTATTTTTCCATGATTTTTATCTTGGTAGGTTGTATGTGTCTCATATTTAACCATAGTCTTAATATCCATTTTGCTATATATTATCTATCATAAGATCTCTTCTGAAGGACTTTAGTGATAACACATCTGAGAAAGAGGGAAAGTTAAGAGTTTGGATATGTGTTTTGTGAGGGAACCAGAATTAAAATGCAGGTTGACTTTGGGACTAAGCAGTTTTAAAGACCAAAGTAAAGTGAGTATCCCTCCATTATGCCTGGCAATTAACCCATGCATACTTATGCTATTCTTTGTGGATCCAAGCTGGGCTACATAATGATATTCTCTACTGTTTTGTGCTATAATTGCATCCCAGATAAGCGAGGGACTCCTCATGCTTGGAAAGTTAATAGTGTTACCCAGAATCATATTTGTTCCCCACCCACCTACATTTATTTCTTTTTTGATCTTCCTACCAGCTTTTCTTAAAGTTTCTTTGATCCTGAAATCACTAGAGCTTTCTAGGCGGAAAAAGAATGGCTGCTCTGCAGAGTGCTAGGGCCAATCTAACTTCAGGATCATCAGGACTTCCTCTTGCTCACCCCTCCCCTTCAGCAGCACAATGGCTAGGTCTTAAACATAATCTTACATTATGCTGTCAAAACCTGATTTATGATGATCTTTCTACTCTCCTGTCCCAATAGTACTAACGCAAACTAATAATACAAAGCTAATGCATATAATGCTTACTAAGTTCCAGACACTATTCATAACACTTTAAATATAGTAACTAATTTTATCCTATGATCATATTTATTATTCCTACTTTTTAGATAGGGAAACTGAAGCACAGAGAAGTTAAGTAACACTAAAGAATACAAGTTTCAAAGCCAAGTGGTCTGGCTCCAGAATCTGCTCCTAACCAATTGCCTTTGCAGAAAAAAGAAAAAAAGTCTAAGTTGATTTGTTTATCAGTATTTGTCTGTCAGCTTAGCTAGTGTCAAGGCATTCCCAGAAAATATTAGCCATTTGTAGAGACCTGCTAAGCATCTGAGGTAGGGGCTGACCTCAGCAATTTCTGAACCAGCCATGGCTGTTCCCACTAGGTGCACATTGCTCTTGGATCTCAGTGTTATAACATCCACCACCTTCTCTTCTCTCTGATGTTTCATGTTATTAAACTGTGATGAGACTCTTGTTTTTGTCTGGTAGGATTATAACCTGCCACAGAGCCCAAAAGTAAAAAAAGAATCAACCCAGCTATTTCCAGAATAATATTTCATTTTAGTAAGATTTCCTACTGAGATATTAAGGTCAGGAAAAGTAAAAAGAGTCAAATGGAGTGTTTTGGGGATGCTGTGTGTACCTAGAGTTAGTTAAAGTGGCATTTATGTAAGGGTATATGCTGTCATTACAGTGAAAGGAAAGCCTCTCTAACCATTTATTAATAATTTTATAGTCCATCCTTCATGGCAGATGGAATGAAAGAACAAAGAAAGTTTACTTCCAAAGCAATTTAATAAACATAAAGTTAAAATGTCAACGTAGACTTGTTTCTTTTCACATTTCCCCCTCACAAGTGCCTTATTGACAAATGAATTCATTTATTTTTCATATCACAAATTTAAGTGTGTCCCTGAATAACACCCAGCATCTAATTTTTTTTTTTTAAGTTCTAATATGTGCTGGAACTGAGTTTGAAAATTCATTCCGTTGGCTGTTTCTTCCCTTTACAGTTTGGAGAGTTTTGAAATTACCTTTGGATGGCTTTCACTGAGGAGATATGTTTGCTTATCTATTTTAAGTCAAGAAAAAACAGATAAATATTCATATTATTTCTTGCTAACTAACTCAGTTGGCAAATTATTTTTGTATACTGGGGTTAGTGCCTACTCACATTAAACTTTTTAAAAAGGAGATTGAGTTTAAAATGAGACCACTTTTTAATCAGGTGGGATTCCTGGAACTATTTCAAAAGCATGTATAGTTTTTGTTTTTATAGAAAGTGAAGAATGAGGCATTAGAGTTATAAAATTAAGATTCTTATTGAATAAGTAAATTTGCCTAAGGATAGGGATAATGGAAATGTGTAATTATTTGCATTGAGAGGTTAGTGTTGTCAAAAGCTACCTCCCAGGCAGCTATCTTCAAGCCATTATACCTGGGCCAATAATCTTGTTCCCAGTCTCAGCAAAGTTGATGTTAATCCTAATACCCAAATGAGAGTTCTTCCTGTAACCTTTGTGGCTTTTTTTCTTGAAGACAGTTGAGTGAAGAACCACCATTCCTCTGTATAACTTAGATATTATTCATCTTGTTGCTAGAAGGCAATCAGGCTATGGAAAATGTCATCTTTGAGATCATACAAATATCATGGTTCTGACCACAGTGGATTAAGATGGGTGATTGGAGAGTGGAGTGGTGACAGAACCAGATTCACAATGGGGTGTACTTTTTCAAGTTGTGGTTATGTCTCTAGTTGCTTTTGACACAAATATGCAAGGTAAACATGCTTCCTCATCATCTGTTGGGGCCAAGGTGTATTTTAAAAATCAATATATAATATAATGTCTAAAATTAAGTATATTAGTTTTATATTCTTTTTATGTATATAGAATTTTAGTTTGGCAATTTTACAGATCAATTATATCCTTGTGGATTATAGCTGCTAATTATATACTATTTGAGTCAATATATTGATATAACCTTTTACTAAAAATGTTATAAATAGGTTCCAAGAGTATATAGTAATTTTTTATAAACCCAGTCTTACTTGGTACAAAGAGTTTTTTTTATTAAATATATTTTAAAATCACAGGTAAAAGTTGTTTTTAATCCACATAAGTTAGAATCTCAAAAAGGACCAAAAAAGGAATAAACATGGAGTTTTACCCTCTAAAAGTTGAAGAATTATCAGAACAGGGTTACAAAATCTGTAGTTTCTGTATTTTTATTTAGTTGTGGTAAAATACACATACATTAAATTTACTATCTTAATCATTTCTTAGGCTGTAGTTCAGTGCTATTAAATATATTCACATTATTGTACAACCAATCTCCAGAACTCTTTGTATCTTGCAAAGCTAAAACTCTGTATATGTTTAACAACAAGTCTTCATTCTTCTTCTCCCCCACCATTCTGCTTTATGTCTTTATGAATTGAACTACTCTAAGTACCTCACATAAGTAAAATAATATGGTATTTGTCTTTTTTGTGTCTGGCTTATTTCACTTAGCATAATTTCCTCAGGTTCATCCATGTTATAGCATGTGTCAGAATTTCTTTCCTTTTTTAAGGCTGAATAATATTTCATTATATGTGTATGTGTGTGTGTATATATATATACACACACACAAACACACAATTAAAATTATATATACACAAAATCTATATACAATTTAAATTATATATACACAATTATATATATATCTAGTCTGATGATTGACACTTGGATTGTTTCTGCCTTTTGGCCATTGTGAATAATGGTGCAATGCACATGGACATACAGATATCATTTTGAGACTCTGCTTTCAATTATTTTGATTATATGTCCAGAAGTGGAATTGCTGGATAATGTGATAATACCATTATATTTTTATTTTTGAGGAACTGCCACACTGTTTGAATTAGTGGCTATATCATTTTACATTCCCACCAACAGTGCATAAGGGTTCCAGTTTCTTCATAACCTCACCAACACTTGTTATTTTGTTATTCTGGGTTTTTTGTAGGGAGACTAATAGCTATCCTACTGGTTGTGAGGTGGAGCAGTGTATTTTAAATTCAACTTTAACCTAGAGAAAATTATGATGGAAATGATGATGAAATGTACAATCTCATTTACATATTATGGCCAAAGTCTAAATTTGAATACTGTGCCAGCTGACCCTTTTCTACTCTATTGTCCCACAAATGATACTCTTCAAGTAAGGATTATAGCAGCCTGAGAAATCAGGAAAGCATAGCTGGGAATTGGCCAAAACAAAATCCAGCAAGATCTATTTGAAGGTAGTGTTTTTAAAAAAATCATAAAATTTATGCACTTTGAACCTTGTACAGAATACAACTGTCCTCAGGCTAGAACTACTGACTTAATGTAGTATGTAAGGTAAGGGATTTAGCAAGCTCAGTTTTCCTTTCATTGCCAATTCATTTTCTCAATTTTCTATACATAAAAGATTGGAAAAGGTCTGACAGACAGTAGTTAGCAGTAACACTAATTGGCAATAAGAAATAACTGCATTATTGCAATGTGGTAGAATCATTTAAAAGTTGAAAAGTCATAGTAGGACACTATTTTAACATAGCATACTATGTTTTGTTTATAATTAGCATGCTATCCAAGGAGAAAGTGAGTACACAAAGGGTGTTTAGTTCACTAAGGCAGGGAAAAAAGAACTCCGAAGTATTCTTAAATTCTTTTCATTAAAACGATCAGACTGAGAATATTTGCTTTTCAAAGGAATTGGCTTCATTTATCTAAAAAATGCTATCATATGGATTAGCTGATTTTCCAATGATGCAGAAAGGATCACATATGGTTCAGAATAGCATATATTCAAGTGTCCAAAAATATTCTTATAATCTTTCCTATGTAAAATCCAATTGTTCTCTTAATTTTAATTTTCTATAATGATCCTTCTAATCTCTATTAACCTTTTATTTTGCCTGCCTAACTGTTATTGAATAGGTATTTCCCATTTCTTTTTACTTTACAATTCTGGGTTCCTTATTTTTCCGGTGTGGTATCACAGCATACAGCATTTTCTCTCCTGTACTTATCTCTCTGTATTGCAGTCAATCTGTGTTCCTAACCATCTGACCCCTGAGACCACTAGTGTGTCCCAGATCAGTAATAGCCAAAGAGACAAAGTTGTTATCATGCTGAGAATTGTATATGGCATACATCTTGGTATGCCTCCAGGAATGTGAGGCCATTAGGTTGTCAGATATGAGTCACAGTGGGAAAAATATTAGGATCATTGAACCAGAGTGTGAGCAACTTGAGCCTTCTTTCTTTTTCTCCCATATGTAGTAGTGTTTGACCTAGGCATTAGTATAAACACTAAGGTGAAGAGGTTGGATTTTTGCTGTATTAAAAAAATGCATTGTAGAATTGAGTTTTGTGTAGGGACACTGTTAGAATTGTGATACAATAAAAATATTATTAGATCATTCTCTTCCTTCTTCCAGAAAGGACATAAGATTGAAGACTCAAAGATAGAGGCATAAAATTGCAGTGAAAGGAGGAACCTAAAGTCAAGGTGGGGAAAACGTAGAACCAGATATGGGTGGACTCAACTGCAATTCTGAGCTTTGTAGCAACCAACTCAAAAAGGAGAAGCCTTTAAGTCAGAACTTCACAATAGCTGTGAGATCAATCAAACAACTATTTAGAGGAGTATAACTATTTTTTCTTTTCCAAAAATAAAAATAGCCTTATTTTGCTTTCATTCTAAAAACCATATGTTACTTATTTTTTTTTTAATCAAGCAATAAAGTACAAAATCTTTTATAGTTACCCCACTAGAGCACTCATGGTCATACCCCTAAGCTTCTTGGTAGTCAGTACAGAAAAGGAAACAGATGGTCACACAACTCATACTGCTCAATTTATATTACAAACAGTATAAGATCTTGTTAATCTTCCTACACTTTTAATAATACTAGGTCCGTGTTGTTCATCTTTCCTGTTCCTGTAAGAGAAAACTTATATTTGCCATTTTCTACTATCCTTAATACTAGTGTCTGATGTGACTTTCTCCTATGGTTTTTATAAATAGACACTGTGTATTGTAATGAACAAGTATTCTTGATAACATACTTTGATTAATTTGATAAGTTTTTTTCTGGAGTATTTCTTATAATAACGCTGAATTATGGGTAATGATATCCCACCAAGTTTTTAATTCAATAAAACCAGTTTTTATGTTATTGTCTGTTATTCAACCTTTTTATTGATTTGGCTTTATTCAGGAACGTATTTGTGGTAGAGACCACAAGCTTCCTACCAAAATCTACTTTTTCCTTCTTTGTGGACACACAAACTACCATTAAGAGCTCCATTTGAAATTAAATGTGGCTATGTGACTAAGTTTTCTCTAGTACATTGTAAATGAAAGAAATGTGAGTCACTTCATTGGCCTGGGCCATAAAAATCTCTGTTATGTGTTCCTGGGTGCTCTTTTTTCTTTCTGACTAAATGAAATGGCAGTGTTCAGGGAAACCTTAGAAGTCATGTGTTGAAAATGACTCAATAGCCATCAGCCTGGATCCTTGAATGACCATGTGGAAAGAGTTGCATGGCCTAGCTGAACATTCACCCAGCACTGTTGAATAAGAAAGAAATACACTTCTAATTATTTATTTAACTAGTTTTTAGAGTCTATTTGTTACTGCAGCTTAGCCAATCTCAATTAATACAATATATTAGAAAATATAACTGAACAGAAATTGAGCTAGATTCAAATCTCCGTATTATCAGGATATGCACCATCTTTATAACATGATTCTGAATTGGTTTTATTTGTAGGTAGATTTTCTCCACTTAGTAGAAAAAATGGCCCAGCAATCCCAGATCTTCCGTGGTCTTTATAGCTTATGATCATAGAAGCTGAGAAAGTATCTTTTCCTGGAAGCACCAGCAAAAGTTCTAGGAAAACTCTTAATTGGCTCAGCAGGGGTCATGTACCTATCACTGAAATAGTTTATGTGGCTAAAAGGATAGAATACCATGGGTCAAACTTGGTTTACATTGCTGCCTCTAGATAGAAGGGTGATAGTCCCACGCAAACCCCATGGACAAAGTAGGATTGTATGGAATGGAGTAGTTCCCTAAAGAAAGGACTTCTGAACAGTAAAGAATAGACATCAGAATGCAATATGGCTAGGTTTTTAAAATTAATATAGACATGAAATGAGAAGGACCTGGTTGAAGATCTTGGTGTGGA